AATAATATATATATATTTAATGGTCGGGGTGAAGAGCTCAATCCTCGACCTCGATCGAAAATTCTCTAGCCCCATCAAAATAATAATTTATATATATATAAAATTGCCATCCCTAGTTTCATACTTTCATCCATGACCAATTCCTTTTGAAATGGCCAAAATGGTGGACAATATGCCCGATAAAACATTATCGTGATGCAATTATAAGCTAATACCGGTGGAAGGTCTTACGATTGTTGATTGATCGTCGATGGAAAAATGGAAATGTTTCCGGTGGTGTAACATTCAAAGCTTTGCCCCTGATTGATTGAAGCCAAGGAATGTCATTTCTTCTTGTTCCATTTGGTTTGGATCCAGCAAAATCAAACCTTGGATCCAAATCCAAGATAACAGATTTTAGATCGGATTTAGATTTTAATCCGCATCCATCTCGCATACATGTATCGAATTTGGATTGTAATCGAATATTAAATAGCATTATATATTGATGGAGGACCAGCTCACCAACCGACGACAGTTCATGCCTCTCATGTCTAGAGACCTTACGTGATCCAACAACCATAGGATAATGGTGACAGTTCCATGCATTGGATAAGGATTGGAGGAGGGTGGCTATCGGACGGTGGATATCAAAGGCAGCCTGAGGAAGATTTCGAAGATGTCTAGAAGTCCAATTCCCAGTTGTTTTAGTTGTTTTACAAGTTTAATTCTCGTAGTTATTCTACAAGTCTACCATATGTATTATAAATAATCCTGTTTTGAGTTAATAAAAGACACATAAGAGTTTTCTTTCGCTATATTTTCTCTCTCTACCAAGGCATACGCCTAGTCTTTACGTAAGGCTTCACGAACGAAGCCGCTCGATCGTCCGGTGCTTGTGTAATCGTCCAGTCAAATGCGTCACACTACATCAGGTGGTATTAGAGCGGGAGTTCGCCCAATCAGATGGCCAACCAAGACGGTAGCAGTCGCAACCCACCCCGTGACGGAGATCAGGGGTTACAAGCTATTTGGAGAGCAATCGAAGAGCAGCGCACAACCACGCGTAACATTGAGCATCAGTTGGCAGAGATCGCTGGACAACTATGGACTTTGTTACGGGAGGATGTTCCAAGGAATAGGGATAACACGTTGTACCAAGCCGGAGGAAACGACCACGATAGACCAATCATCGATCATATACCCAGGAACCCTATTCTTGATTATGATAGCGACGATGAGCTAGAATTCGGCGTTGCTCCAGTTATTCCCGGTGATGGCAGAACCGGTAGGAATTGGCGAAATCCCGACAATTTTAATCACCGTCGGAATAATGATGAATTTAAACTCAATGTGGATATTCCTACTTTTAGTGGAGATTTGGATATAGAGGGCCTTCTAGATTGGATCACCGAGGTCGATCGTTTCTTCGAGTACATGGAGATCCCGGAAGAAAGAAGGGTGAAATTAATAGCTTTTCAATTGAAGGGAGGAGCATATGTCTGGTGGGAACGAATGAGAGAGACTCGGATCAGAGAAGGAAGAGGTCCAGTTCGAACATGGAGGCGTATGAAGCAATTAATACGAGGTAGGTTTTTACCTCTTGATTATGAATAGTATATGTTTGAGTCATATCAACGGTGTGCGCAGGGAACAAGAAGCGTGAACTAGTATACCTCAGAATTTCTGAGATTGGCTGAACGGAACCAGTTATTAGAAAGTGACAATCAACAGGCAGCCCGTTATTTGAGTGGTTTGAGACCTGCTATCCAAGACAAGATTGGCGTTCAGATGGTTCTGAGTGTGCAGGAAGCAAGGAACTTAGCTTTGAAGGCTGAGTTAATGTTCCAAGAAAGGACCCGAGCCGATAACTATCGACGGTATAGTGGGAGCGACAACAAGCCGGTAGCAGTCGACAAGGGCAAGCCAACCCAAGGAGTACAACCCTTCCACCCACCGAGTCTAGCCAACGCCAGTAAGGCCGCCACGGGAGGAAACACTCGAGGTAATACTACAAACCCTCCTAAAGCCATTAATCCCTATGCAAAACCTGCTCCTTTTAAGTGCTTCAAGTGCAATGAAGTGGGGCATAGGTCTAGTGACTGTCCCAGAAAAAAGACAGTTAACATGGTGGAGAGGGATGAGGAAGAAGTGTGTGACGATGAAGTATATTGCGGACCCGATGGGGAGGACGAAGAAGGTACCTATGAGCATGAAGAATACACGTGTGTAGTGAGGAAGCTAATGCTATCTCAGAGAAGCAAAGATACCACACAACGACATCGGCTGTTTCGCATTAGGTGTACTGTACAGGGTAAGCTATTTGAATTAATTATTGATAGCGACAATCAGGAAAATATTATCTGCATGGATGTGGTACAGAAACTGCAACTACTTCTTGAGAAACACCCGAACCCTTACACGATTGGGTGGATCAAGGAAGTCAGGGGCGTACGTGTGGAGGAACGCTGCAAGGTTCCATTCGCTATAGGTAAGTACACTGATGAGGTTTATTGTGATATTGTAGATATGGATGCTTGCCATATTTTGCTTGGTAGGCCTTAGCAGTTTGATGCAGATGCCAAGCACCTGGGTAGGAAGAACGCATACCAGCTCGAGAAAGAGGGTGTGCGCTATACACTATTACCCATGGTAGAAAAGAACCAACCCAAGGCTTCAAAGGCAAAAGAAAGAAATTTTCTTACCATAACTCATCGTCACTCTGAGTTTGTAAGAGAATGTAAGGATACCTGCGAGGTCCACTTGCTGGTGGTAAAGGGAGAAAGCGTGAGTGAATCACTGGGGGAGAACAAAATCCCATTGGAAGTGCAGGGATTACTCAACGAGTTTCATGATGTAGTTCCTGACGAGTTACCTAATGAGCTCCCACCCATGCGAGATATCCAACATCACATTGATTTTGTTCCTGGTGCTAGCCTACCTAATCTGCCACACTGCAGGATGAGCCCTAAAGAAAACAAGATTTTACGGGAGAAGGTAGAAGAATTGTTAAGAAAAGGTCATATCCAGGTCAGCATGAGTCCATGTGCAGTACCAACATTATTAACACATAAGAAAGATGGGAGTTGGAGGATGTGTGTCGACAGTAAAACAATCAACAAAATCGCTATTAACTACAAGTTTCCCATTTCCAGGCTGGATGACATGCTTGACCAACTTGATGGGGCTGTGATCTTTTCCAAAATTGATCTCAGGAATGGTTACCATCAAATCAGAATCCGTCCCGGAGATGAATGAGATACAACTTTCAAGACCAGAGATGGATTGTTCGAATGGTTAGTCATGCCTTTTGGACTAACTAACGCACCCAACACCTTCATGAGAGGTATTGAGTGCATTAAAGGAGAACAAACTATATGCTAATCTAAAGAAGTGTATTTTTATGAGTGATAGTTTGTTCTTGGGTTTCATAATAAGCAAGGACGGAATTAAGGTGGATGAAGAGAAAGTGCGAGCCATTAGGGAGTGGCCAACCCCAACGAACGTCACAGACATATGGCATTTTCATGGGTTAGCAACTTTCTATAGGCGGTTTATCAAACACTTTAGTAGTATTGTAGCTCCTATCACTGAGTGTTTGAAAAAGGGTAAGTTTCAATTGGGAGAAGAACAAGAGTAAAGTTTTGCTCTCATCAAAGAAAAACTGTGCACTATTCCTGTCTTAGCATTGCCAAGCTTTGACAAATTATTTGAGGTTGAGTGTGATGCTAGTGGAGTCAGCATAGGGGCCGTGTTATCACAAGAAAAGAGACTAGTTGCCTTCTTCAGTGAAAAGCTATGCAAAGCCAGAAAGAAATGATCCACTTATGATAAAGAATTTTATGTTGTCGTAAGAGCATTAAAGACCTGAGAACACTATTTGATTGCTAAAGAATTTGTCCTCTACACCGACCATCAAGCTCTTAAATATTTAAGTAAGCAAAAACAGTTGAGGAGTGATCTACATGCAAGGTGGTCTGCTTTTATTGATAAATTCCCATACAAAATTGTGTATAAGGCTAGACAACAGAACACAGTGGCCGATGATTTGAGCAAGCGTGTGGCCCTCATCAAGACTCTTAGTATCAAAATTATGGGCTTTGAATGTTTGAAGGATCTATACGCCCAAGATGAAGACTTCAAGCAGGTTTGGGAAAAATGCATGAATCGGCAACCAGCGAGTGATTTCTATGTACATGATGGCTTTCTTATGATGGGGGACCAACTGTGCATTCCTTGCATCTCCCTCCGCGAGAAAATCATCAGGGATTTACATGGAGGCGACTTAGCAGGACACCTCGGGAGGGACAAGACGATTGATGCTGTTAAAGGGCATTATTATTGGCCTAAATTAAGAAGAGATGTGACCACTATCGTGAGTAGGTGCTACATATGTCAGACGGCTAAGGGTCAAACCCAGAATACTGGCCTCTACATGCCTTTGCCTGTTCTTACTGCGATTTGAGAATACTGGCCTCTACATGCCTTTGCCTGTTCTTACTGCGATTTGAGAAGACTTGTCTATGGATTTCGTGCTAAACTTACCGAAGACTCCAAAAAACATGGACTCAGTCTTTGTAATGGTTGACCGGTTCTCCGAGATAGCACATTTCCTCCCATGCAAGAAGATCGTGGATGCAACAGTGACGACCAAACTAATTTTCAAAGAGATTGTCCGTTTACATATGGTACCTAAGACCATCACGTCGGACTGAGATTCCTAAATCACTTCTAGATGACCTTGTGAAGACTATTTGACTCATCATTAAATTTCAGTAGTACAACTGCTCATCCGCAGACAAATGGATCAAACTCTAGGTAATTTGACCCACAGTATTTGCAGAAAGAGGCCGAAACAGTGGGACTTTGCTACAACACAAACAAAATTTGCCTACAACAACACATTTCATAGCTCTACAGGTATATCCCCGTTTTCTATTGTTTATATGAAARTACCTAACCATGCATTGGACTTGGTAAAGCTACTCAAGGTACCCGGCCTTAATACTTCAGCAGAGCAGTTAACAGAACAGATCCAGTCAGTATAGGAAAAAGTACAACAGAAACTTCAAAAAACCAATGCAAAATATAAGCTTGCAGCTGAAGCATCACAATGACATCATTGTGTTCTTAAAGAAAAAACACCTACTCGTTGAGAAGCATAATAAGTTACAACCTCGAAAATACGACCCATACAAGATCCTGACAATGCCTACATTATAGATTTGCGATCCTTGCATATCCCGATCATAACTCAAGGTCGAATTCAATCCAAAAACCATAGGATAATGGTGACAGCTCCATGCATTAGATAAGCATTGGATGAGGATGGCTATCGGACGGTGGATATCGAAGGCAGCATGAAGAAAATTTCGAAGATGTCTAGAAGTAGCATTGGATGAGGATGACTATCGGACGGTGGATATCAAAGGCAGCAAGAGGAAAATTTCGAAGATTCGAATACGCACAAGAGTTTTCTTTCCGCTCGATCGTCCGGTGCTTGTGTCCTCGCCCGGTCGAGCGCGTCAGCGTCAGGCTGCGTCATATATATATTCAATGGAATGGAATCGGATGAAAAAATCAAATTGCACCCCTTCTTTATTTTCCTTATAGATTTTTTTACCTTCTTGTTTGTGGTCAAATTTTATTTTGAAACTGAAGTTTAGTTGATGCCTCGATGGTATGCGTACGTATACAGGCAGAAGGAGTCCCACCGCTTGGCTGCTCGAGAGCTGCAGCTGCTGAATCAATGTTGACTGCTGGGTTCCACTCCAACCGACTTCAAGGTGTCCGCCTTCTTATTAGGGCTGCATTCATAGTTCACAATTCACATTACATTCCATGGATGGCCATGGCATGGAGTACATGGGCTATGTATACTGGGAATTATATATATGTGGCATGTGCTTTAATTACTGACCGAGCAAATGGGTCACGTCGAGTTGGATCAGGGATGGCTTGATTGCGATCAAACTCCTGTATGTGGGACACCTTCCTGAAGAAAGACGTATTGACGAACTTATCGGCCTCATCCACCACATGATCTGGATCTTCCACCTCTGGCACCGTTTTCCTCTTCTTCTTACTCACATACACCGTTGGACTGTACAGCAACTCCTGTTTTGCGGTGTAGAGTCCCAGCCCCACCGACAATGTTATCATCCCCAGCGCCACGTACAGCGGAACAAACTCTCCCTTCGCAGCCCTGCCCAGTGCCAGTACTCAGTAGCCAGTACTAGTAGCATCACCCTTACTAATATAAGTATATAACCCCCCTCCCTCCTCCGACAAGAGTAACACACTGTAACATACCCACCGGCCTACCTACCTTATTATGGTCTGATGATAAGCCTGAGCAGAATCAGACGTTGATGTGAAAGATTTCATCTTCGGCGTAGTTGACGTGGTGAATGACCGTCTTCCTGCCGCTATGCCACTCGCTATCCAACCACCCTGCATTTCCAGCATTTGTAGTGTATCAGTTCTCAAAGGGGTAAGAGAGACAGACAGATCCTAAATCACCGCTAATTAGCTCTTACCAGTGCTCTAAAAGCCATGATTGACGGATGGAATGGACGAACAACCGTGTCGAAGCTCTCAGAAAACCAAAAAAACAAAACGAATGAATATAGCGGTCTTAGTACGTCACCGGCAAGCAAACATGTCCTCCTCCCTTTGAACTTCTGAGTGAAAAATATACAACGATGAAGGGTGCTCTCTTGCCCATGTGGATGTGGCATCACGAGGAATGAAGTAAGTTGTAGGAAACGTGGAATTATTGTTATCCAACACGTTTGACTGAGAACGCTCCAGAATCAACACTTCAGCATACAACTGTTGGCATACGGTGGTCTTGTTTACATCTAGGTTGACGTGTCGCTCTCGTGTTTGCTTTTCGGGCCGATACAAATTAATTCTTCCACAAAACGGTGCTTAGTGCTCACTGCTCACGCCGTAATCACAGCCGTGTATTGGAAATAACTTTCATGAATAAAAACATACAATTACTAAGATATTCCTAATACACGATTGACAAGTGGCTGTGAATACGATATAATCACCATGGCTGAATCCAATGAGATGGGCTGTGGGACACCGGTGGCGTGCGCTCCTTGGTATCTACGTAGGAGAGGGTTATCATCATGTACCACCAGCAAACGCTAGCGATACTGTCCCAACAGGTCAATTATGTGATAGTCACTGATAACATCTGCTCCTCACATCCGCATTCCACTTGTATTGGGAATATTTCCAATGAATAATTACATACAGGAAATATTCTCATGCATAATTAGAATGTGAGGTCGGTGTGAGAACCACTATGCGAAGAGTATATTCAAACTCAAATGATAAGTGAGATATTCTTAATGTGCGGCTGCGGTGAAATATAAATACAGTGTTGAAAGCATTTTATTAATAATAAATCCCTATCATCAACTTAGAAAAGAGTTCACATTGTTGTCCCACAGATTATCATTGAGATTTGGGAGATGTTCCGAATACACAGTAGGAACGTATTGTAGGGCGCGCTATGTGGGGCACCAACAAATTGCATGGAGAAATGTTCTTGATGAACCACACAGAAGGAGAATGAACTGAGGGGCGCACTCTGTGGGAACCTGTCCTATTTCATCTATTTGTGTCACCTATAAAAATTTTCAATTTTAGGACTATGTATGATACCGGAAAATTTAATCACCAATCAACCGGTATCATAGATATCAGGTGGTACCGTGGTATTCATTGATGGTGGCTATCCGGGACTTGTTGTAGTTAAGAATAAAGATTTTTTCCTATAATACTTTTAAAACCATTATATTATCTAAATGTTAATCATTTAATCTATATATAACATGCACCGATATATAAAAAAAAAATTAAAACCACTATATTTTTATTGATGCTACGTTTGCATTTTAAGCAAGGTTTTTAGAATCGATTCGGACAATGAACCGGTCAGGGTCCGGTTCCTAGGTCAAGCGGTCCAATTGTTCGAACTGAATGGACAGTCCGTTCTAATAAAAAAAAATAAAAAAATAAATAATAAAAAATGGTCAAACCATTGAATGATTCAAACGGTTCAACCACATGAGTCAGTGGGTTTGCTGACCAAATCAATATTTTTTGACAAAAATCCAATTTTGGAGAAAACTAGAACTGGTCACCTGACCAGTCCCAGTTTTTCCAGTCTGGTCTGATTTTGAAAACCATGATTTTAAGTAAAACATCAATAAAATGTGTTTTGTTAGACCATTTGAAGATACAAACTTACAATGGCCATACCTTATAACGCAACACAAAACAGATGTTTCTTCCAATGGATATTGGAGCTGTTGCGTTATGATATGGCATTTAACTGGCTTATTGCATGGTGGGTTATAGATAATTAGATATGATTCAAGTATAAATTTTACTACAATGTTCAGTGAACATTCATCCATCCATACCAAATGTATTTTACAACAAAACGAAAACAGTGTGCATGGGGTGTGGGGTGCAACTTCCACTTTTTGTTGTATCACCACACACCTCACCTTGGTATTAAACACCCAATACAAGTTTGATGTCAAAATGCTTGTGTTTGGCGTTTGATATGAAATGCCATTGCTTTTTTAAATATTTGAACTTAAAATGGTAATGATACCAAATACAACCTAAGTGTTTGAGTTTGAAATGGCAATAGTATCAAATACAACCTATATATTGAACCAGTATTCTAAAAAGCATTTAACTTAGTATTGGCGTTGTTAACTAATGTTTAAATGAAATGTTTATATTTAATGTGACACCATCTTATTATAACTCATTCAATGGTCTATTTTAAAAATAATGTCATGACAATTGGCTCATCGTTACACATAGATTAAGGGTCCATTTGGTTTGCAATCAGAATTGGAATCATCTGGAATCGGAATGGTCTATTCACATAGTTTGTTTGGTTTAGATAGGAATGGGAATGAGAATTAGAGCCAGCATAAATGGGATTTTATTCCTAAGGGAAAGGCTGGGAATGGCCATTCCCTCAAATAGAGGAATGCCATTCCAACAAGAATGGGAATGAGATTATGATTCCACCCAACCAAACAGTTGGAAACGGAATAATCCATTTCGATTCTGATTCTAGACCCCTATTCCTGCGAACCAAACAGGGCCTAACATCTAGATGCAGATCTAATGGTTCTTGGTTAAAAGTATATAGAATCTAAAAAAAACCTATGTTTTGGAGATAGGCTTATAGGCATTTCATAGTGTATATATCTTTGCGGGGGCGTTCTTTTTTGGGATCTTAAGAGGGGGAAAGTTGGTCAATGGGATTTTGGTTCCCATTGACCAAGAATCCCTTTTTTTTATTTATGTGGGGACCAGGGAAAGTTTATTTTCCTGGGTATCACTTTACTCGGGTAAGTGATACCCGTCTCCTAAGTGGGTAAATAACTTTCCCACCTGAGGGAAAAGTTGCAAACACTTGAATGGGACAAAAATGCCCCTTTTAATAATGGATTTTTATGGCTAAAATGGTCATTGTCTTATTTACATGAGAAATAAAAGAACATGGGTAAATGCATTTACCTGAGTAAGTGTTTCCCATGAAAAACTTACCTAGGTAAYTGCATTTACCTGGATAAATAACTTACCGAAAAGTAAACGGGACCTGCAAGTATGTGATACATTAAAATATATTTCTACATTGCCATGTAGAACACCAACCAAACGCAGTATCATTGGAATGTTTTTTCCAACAAGTAGGTAATGGATGAAATATCAGTTTGATGTTCTCCCAACCCCTCCGGGTTTATGTTCATAGTAAAAATGTTGTTTTTAACTCAAAATGGTATCAACCAAACAAAAGTTGGCGTTTGAGCTCAAAATGCCTAAGGTGGCGTTTGATAAATCTGAAAAGTTAAAAAGATATTAAGTGTCTGAAATCTGAAAATAGGAATACATGCTTTTCTACTTTTTAGAGGATCTAAATCCATAAGTTTGTTTGTGTTGGATCAACCCTTTACCATCTGAAATTTATTGATTTTACTATTTTACCCCTAGAACATACTATTTGTAAATGCTGAGTTCAATTTGTATTATCTCATAAAAAATAATTTTCAACCTCAAAATAATATTGAAACAATACAAATAAAAAATAATAATTTAATAATTACTAATTAATAAATGAAACGATTAAAATTAAAAAAAAATTAATGACTATAAAAATATTAAAATAATTAATAATTTACACAAATAAAAATTAATGAAATAATTAAAAATTACCAGTTAATAAATAACAGAAGTAAATTTAATAAAAAATATTAAAATAATTAATAATTAATAAAAATAATTTATAATTAAATATTTTTACTCACTGAACCATTGTTGCAACGGTGGTGAAAACACAGGGGAGGGAGAGAGGGAGAGAGCGAGAGAGAGAAGATAGGGGGAGAGCGAGAGCCGTCGGTGGTGGGAACACAGGGGAGGGAGAGAGAGAGAGAGAGCCGCTGCTGCAACTTGCAACGACGGTGGCGGTGGTGGGAACACAGGGAGAGAGAGCGCGAGAGCGAGAGTGAGAGAGAATATAGGGGAGAGAGAGAGAGAGAGAGAGAGAGAGAGAGGCATTCTTCCTCCCTGAGCGAGAGCGAGAGAGGCATTCTTCCTCCCTACAAAATGATTAGTTTTTTTTTTTTTAGATATAGGGGTAATTAAGGGTAGTGTTTGCCATTTCTAAAAAAAAATAGAAGGGTGGATTTGACCTTGCACAGGCTTTGAAATGCGTTTGAGCGCGTTAAGAGACGGGCCAAGGTCTATTACTTTTAGATTTAAATATAAGATTCAGACCATGTCTAAGAGGTAAAACCAAACAAGGGGTGAAGTTTGAAAAGCAGCATTTTCAGATTCAAACATTTGAAAAGTGCAATCAAATGACCCCTAAGTTGGAAGTGAAAAGGACCCCATATACTTATCCATATCGGATCCAATAAATCTAATTCAGATCCAATACACTCGAGATATGCTATTTCATGGAAATCCAATTCAATCGGTTTCATTAATTGGTATGGATATTGGACCAATGCAAAAAAAAAAAGTAGAAAATACAGAAAATTGGTGGAAACGTGAAGACATATATTATTTCAACTGAAATAGCAGAACTTATAGAAAATACAGAAGTTGATAAAAAAAAATATAGCAGAAATTGCAAGAAAAAATATAGACATTGGTAAAAAAATAATATATAAAACCTAAAAAAGCAAAAATTGCAATGAGATTTGGAGGCCTCATCTGCTCCCCACTATCGATCTCTTGTAATTATATGTAATTAATGGGAAGATGTTCTAATAATGCACTGTGGGATTGATGTGATGTGAAATTGGTGTGAAGATCATTCTATGAGGAGCAAATCCCAATTCCTATAAATGCACCTGTTACATTCATATCAAATCAACCAGGATTTGTTGGGCCAAAAATCTCCAAAAGAATGCTTTTGAACTGTAAAGAGCAACGGGATACAAACCAGTAGATTCTATTCTAAGGGGTAGACCACCTTGGAAGCAAAGAAGCTGATTCATTGCCTTTATTCCAAATCCATTAATGGGTTGTATAACTAGTTCAGTTGGAATTAATCATAGGCAAATTAATCGTTCCTCCTTCTCGTTCTCTCTTTCCATTGTTCTTAGATTTGTTTTTTGAAGGGAGAGAAAAATGTCAACTGTCCAGGAAGCTCCAAAGACGATACACCAACAACCGATGATGAGTGGCGACAGAATGTTCTCGGTCTCGGCATCGAACGACAATGTGATGATGAAGCAAATTCTGGCCACCCATGCTCACGATGGTCGGGAGGTTGATGTCAGAGCTATCCTCCATATCGTTGAGGACATCTTTCAGCGTTCATCCCCCACCACAGTAGACGGCCTCATCACACCTGTATGCTAGCTCTCTCCTCCAAAACATAAGTTATTAGAATGTGAGTAAAAGGTTGAAATTGGATTGGATGTTTATTAATGGATCCAATCCAATCCAATCCGCCAATGTAAATTAAATATTCTAAATTCTAAATTACCGGATCCTATAATATTTGCAATTACTACACCCAAATTAGACTCTATTATTGGTACTTGGTAGGGCTTCTATTCAATTAAAAATATTGGGATGTGTTCCGGGTTTTAAGCCAAATTCATTGAAAGTTGGTAAAAGTTAAGCCTGAGCCCGACCTTCTGAACAGATCTATGGTTGTGCACATCAGATCATCCCTCTTTGCTTATATTTTGTAATTCATGGTGATGATCCCTGTAGTTTTTGTTGGCATTTAAAACTTTTATCACTTGGCAAAATAGGATTTATTTGGATGATGATGATGATGATAAATTAGGCAATAAACCGGTAATATCTAATTATAAAAAGACATTAATATTTATTGCCATTTCTTATTCATTTGTTTTAGTCATTTCATATATAATTTCAATTTTTAGACATACATACATATATATATATATATATATATATAATTTATAAATTATGAAACAACCTTTTTTTTTTTCTTTTTGAGGGTTATATGTAACATGGTTTTTAAAACCGAACCGGTGATTAAACTGGTCAGGGGTTCGGTTATCGGTTCGAATGGCCTGATCGTTTGATCCGAATGGTCTGACTATTCAATTCGAACGGTCTGACCATTTGATCCGAATGGTCGGTCCATTATGACAAAAAAAATTAAAAAGTTTAAAAAATTTAAAAACGACCGATTCAATGGTTTATTGATCAAAATCAACGATTTTAAGAAAAAAAACAAATTTAAAAAATAATAGACCAGTTCCTAATTTTTCCAGTCCGACCGTCTGATCCAATCCGGTTTTGAAAAGCGTGATATGTATAAACCAACATTGACGTTATAATTGGAATTGAGTGAAACATTATTGCATCTATATTAAACAAGTTGAATGTCAGGTGCTGCGAGAAATGGCGAAAGCGAAATAAATAGAACAAAGTTTTTAGGAAAAAGTTGCGCTGGCTTTATTCCACATATATTCAATTTTGTCTTGCTCTCTTATCATATATTATATTGTATCTTTCATGGGTCCGGCAAGGTCTATTAGTATCAGGGCAAACCGGCGAAGAATAAAATAAAGAGTATCGTTTCATAATTCATATAGAAATTCTTTTCACGCCAGCATAGCAAAAATGGCAAAGAGAATAAAGCGAATTTAGAAACAGAATTTGCGAGGGTACCTAAACCACCCAAACCCCAAACGGGTTAATATTTAATAATTTCCGGTAATCTTTCGGAAGGAGAAGCGATGGAGTGAGGTTGTTCCCTCCGCCGTCCATGGTGTCGGATATCCAGCTCCACTCACTTCTTCTAGCTCTCATTTACTTTAAACTCAGGTGCATTGCTGGATTTTCGGGCATAGTCTGACGTACGCCGCATCCGCCTTTTGTCTTGGGGGGAAAAAGGGCGGGCGAGGTAAAGCGACTATAAAGAGAATCTCATTCTGCAACTGGGAAACTTCTTTTCCTCCCATTGCAAAATAGAGGATTTATGGGTTTACCTTTACAATCGCCAGGGATTTTCATATTCGCCACCAGTAGTGTCCAACGTGAAATTGAGTGAGGCTGTCGTTTCTGCTAGGGCTTTTAATCCGTTTGTCAAAGTTCAATAGGCTTGTTTGTTAGTTCTGGGTTTCTGCAATTAGGATCTTGGGTGCCGTAATCGTTAGGTTTGTGTACCGTGGGGTCCTCCAACAGTGGGAGAGTCCCCTGATTCGACTATCGACCTCGTTGAATTGCCAATATCTTTTTTTTTTCTGTTTCGGATTTTCGATGTAATTAGTTGGTATCGGAAGCATTAAATTATTCGTAGCGATGGTTCTGACAATATTTGAATGGCCATATGGTGGTCAACATGTCTTCCTTACCGGATCTTTCACAAGGTAATTTTTTTCCCATGTTGTTTGATGATTTTTAAGCAGACGTTGATCTCTTTTGCCTGGAAAGTTGTGTTGCTTTCTGTTATCTACGTCCAGTTATATGATCAGGTGGACTGAGCATATTCGTATGACTCTCATGGAGAATTCTGGAACGGTTTTCCAGGCAATTTGGGATCTAACGCCCGGGTATCATCAGGTATGTTGCATCCGATTTCAGTGTAGATTGTAATTCTCTGTTCGTTTCTCTTCTGCTCAGTTTTGCTTGAGCATGGAATCATTCGGGATACGGGAGATTTTTTGGTGAAACTATCCGTGTATGACAAACCGGAGGAAAAGTTAACTTGAAGCGCTTGCAATACAGATTTAGTAGTTTAGGTGCACAATAAGGAAATATTTCATGGACAATAGACTATTACTTTGAACTATCTGTAAAATAAATCTACTAGATTAATTGCATAATTAGGAACCTTTCGTGGATTCCAATGAAAAAAATTTTTACTTTGGAGAGCCTATAAACTATGAGCGTTTCATGACCAATAAATAGCTTAAGTAGGGTGATAGAGTTTATGAAGGTGAAGGTTTGAATCATTTGCCCACAAAGAAACGAAAAGGAAAAAGAAAAAAAAGATGGTAGTAGTCAATTTGAGTGAACTAAAGGTGCTTGTACACCAGGGGCATGGTATAAGTAATCAATCAAAGGACACTAAGAGAAGATAGGTTATTGAGGAAGATCAAGGTTCTGAAGCAGTATAAGGGATATTGCCACTTGGGGTTTTGAATCTCTAAACCTCTTTTCCATCTTACTCGGATTCCCTACTTTTTTTTTTTTTTGATCAGAAATGGTAACTTCATTAAAGATAAATTAAAATTGAAATACAGAAGTCAACCCCTATTAGAAGAGGTTGATCCAATAAACATCATATACAGCACTGCCCAGTAAAGACCCTCCCTTACAGTCCCTTGTTTTGCAAACACATCGGCTAAACCATTTGCTGATCTCCTTACCCACTTAAAACAAACACCCACCTCCCTTGTTATGCTAAATATTTCCCTTCTTTTTCCCTGTTAAACCTTTAAATCTTTAATGAGTTTAGTCTGAACTGCAATATATTCAGAACAAAAGGGAATTTAAGCTATGCTTTCCTTCTTTAACCAGACAATGTGATAAGCTAATAAGTGTGACAGTAGGAAATATTTGTACCCACACATAATTGCTCCATATTTGTCGACAATGCTGTTTAAAAGTTAAATCCTGTCTTAATAGACCCAGTATTTACATAAAGTGTTTGGTTTAAAATATCAGTCATACTGGGTCAGTCTCTAGGACTATGTTGAGCCCTGGCCCCTGGCCAATCATATAATCTGGATTTTTTGATATATAATCCCTTTTCAAGATTGGATCACATTATGAATACCTTGGTCTCATAATGGTCCTAGGGACCAGGGTAGCATTTTTTTAGAGATAGTAAAGTTTTATTTTTACGATCAACTGTAAATATTTAATAATTGCTTTAAAATAATGATATGTAGTTATGTACATAGTGGCGTCAGAAACACCCCATCATTTTAGCCTAGTTCAACTAGTCACCCAAAATACACATGTTGTAAAGTCCTTTGTTGGACCAAACCATCTGTCAAGCTGTTGGCAGCCCTTTTTGTACACTTATAGTAGATTCTTATTCTTCTGTCAGTTGTTTTGTTTCCCTTAAAATGCTTCATAGATCCATGAGCTAGTCTCCCTTTCTCTTCTTAGCCATCCTTTGATTGTTTTGTAGTCACTTTCCACCTCCAAGTTTTTTTTTTTTTTGATGAATAAACCACCTCCAAGTTTTTCCATTGCATAGTTTTTGCTAGTCTTAGACCATGCAGAGCAGTCAGTAAATCAGCTCTTGTTGAACTCTCATAACTAATTGGTTCTGGGTATAGGCGTAGGCTGCGTAGTATATTACCTACATCTCTAAAGTCTCCCTCAATACCAGATAGGCCTGGTTTTCCGACTCTACAACCATCAAAGTTTGTGTATTTAAATTCCTTCAATATAATACTTTAAAACAGTAAAGCTCCTTGTGAATGGCACCCTGCATGTGAGCCTTAAATATACCTGGCATCTTATTTTTTGTATTGAGTCCATAGCTTGGTAATCTGTACTTACACCTGTGTATCTTTATATGTTAATACCATCTATCTTAATGTTGCCCATAACAAAAGTGGGTATTTGCCTTTTATATTAAAAATTGGAAACTGTTATTACTTTATTAATGAAAAGGACAGGCTAGATGAAAGATATATATGCACCAAAGCAAGCAGAAACAAAGATCCAAAGAAATAGAAAATATAGGATACATATGTGAAAATTATCCAGGAAGGAAARGCTCTAAGAACAGTTTCATTTGCCCTACTCCACTCCTTTCAAGCATGATTGGAAACAGAGAAGCTAATATGGTCATTTATATTTGTTCAACCTTGTGGCTGAAATATATTCCATGTTAACATACCCAATGGGCTTTGATGCTACCAGAGAAGCTTTCCACCAGTGTTCATGAGAAAACTATCCCTTTAGCTATTTTACATGGTTATGCCAAAAGCATCATCATCATTATCCCAAGTCTTGTCCCTAAGTATATGGTGTTGGCTACATGAATCATGTTCCACCATTGCCTTTTGTTCAGTGCCATATCCATTGTTAAATTATGGACCATTAAATCATTTCTACTACTTCAACCCATGTCATCTTGTTCTACTCCTAGCTATCTTATTAGCCTCTTCAACTAAAGACCCCTTCTTCTTACTGGTGCTATAGATGGTCTTCATTGCACATGACAAAAGCATCTTCATCTACTTTCCATTATTTTATTGCCTATTGGGGCTACTTTTAGGTTCTTTTTTTTTAATGTTATTCCTCTGTTCTTTCAAATAAGTACATTCCTGATCTTATTCTTTCTATTTTTTCCACTCATCCATCCTAGCATTTGGTATTTTTGCCACACTTTGGACATTAGTGTTATTTGACTGCCCAATACTCTACTCTATACAACATTACTGTCATAGTTTTCAAGGTGCCTAGACAAGGCTAAGTTTCCACAGGGTGCCCAGAAGCCTAGGTGGACACCTAGGCATTGCCCAGGAGATGGAATCTTTAAAATAATAAAAAAACAAAAAACCAATTATCAAAAAAAATCTTTAAAATAAAAACCTACAAATTTCTATAAACCCTAACTAGGCATTGTCCAGTGCTGCTTCAAGTATAGTGGAGCCCCTGCAGGAAACTGCAGAAGAAAAGAAGGGGGTGGAGCCCCTGTTTCATTCCAATAATACCATTCAAAAAGTTTGGGGAAAAGATAGTAAAAAGTGGAGGGAAAATTGGAGTGTAGCTCCTGTTTTAAACCAACACAAAGAGAAAAGGAAACATACCTGGCCTGGTCTGTTCAGTTCTTGCACTTGCAGCTGCAGGTGTGAGAGACTGAGAGTGAGGAATGAACCAACTCTAAGTCTCAAGAGCTCCTGTAGTCTTGCCTCTTAATTGTGCTATGAAAAACCCTACAAGACAACTCACAACTATTTTGTTATCTCGCAAAATAAAAAATATGATTATGTATACCAGGTCCTATTATAACAAGTAAAACGAACCAATATAGCAAGGATAGAAAAATAACAGGTTCTCTTGTAATTTATAACAGGTTCTAGGTCCTGCTTTGTTGCCTAAGCGTGTCTCATAAAATTTTCACATGGTGTTGCAAGGAATTTAATGAATTTCTCTTGCTGATAAAAAAAAAGGACAAGAAGTTGCTTAGTTGCCTAGGCATTGCCCTGACAACTATGATTATTATTTTTTTTATGAGTAGCAACTATGATTATTGTTCTTGTAACTATTTATGAAAATTTTCTTTTAACCTAAGTGATATTCTCATATTATGTAAGACTTCTATGGGACATGGGTAACATCCTCCTCAATCTCCACCTTGTTATCTCTTGGTCTTCAATCCTAAGTGTACCTAAATTTCCACTCCTATTATTATTAAATTTACATTGCATATGTTCTGTTTGTTTTTATTGTAAAACCTATTGATTTAGGGCACTTGTCGATAAATCTAATTTTGCATTCAATCCTTCTTAGTTTCATCTTTCAATACTATGTAATCAGCAAACAGCAAGCACCATGGGACATCTCCTAAATATGATTAGTCAATTAATACATAAATAGTGCAAATAGAATAAGGACAATTATGCTGAAGACCAGCTAAGTACAATAATCTCTCAGCATTTAAACCAAAATGAAGTGTCAGATATGGAGATACTATCAGTTCTTTTCTCTGTGCATTCAACTTTATTTATTTATTTATTGCCTAGGGGGGATAATGATGAGAACATGAAGAAATTATTTACTTCCATATTCTGGATAATTATTTAATTTTATATGGTGATAAATTTCCTTTTGCAGTACAAATTCTTGGTTGATGGTGTATGGCGGTTCAATGAGCAGGAGCCTTGCGTTACTGATGAGTATGGGGCAGTGAATAATATTATATTTGTGAAGGAACTGGAGTTTGCCCCTTCAATTTTACATAATGAGGCTCCTAAATCTGGCATGGATGTTGATAATGGCATCTTTCAGCACCCGGTTAGTTTATAAATTATTTCATGGCTAATTATTTATTTCTATTTTCTTTTTCTATTTCCTACTGAAGGCATCTCATTAATCCTTTTCATGCATTTTAATAGCATACATGTTGTTTATTCCTGTTATACCAACCAGGCTTCATTGTCAGGTGGCATGCACCAGGAACCAGTCTCACAGATTTTAGATGGTGATATAGATGCTTTCCGTCGCCATCTTTCCATACTATTGTCAAGATATACAACATATGAATTGCTTCCTATGTCGGGCAAGGTTTGCATTCCTTCGCAACTTCTTTTTGAGCTATAAAAATTCCTGTGTGATTTCTATATTTAGAAGCTCATTGGTTTTTTCTGATTAGAATTACTGGATAACTTTCAGGTTGTTGCCTTGGATCTTATATTGCCTGTTAAACAAGCATTTCATATTATGTATGAACAGGTAGGCATGCTCTTTTTGAGCTTCTACTCTCTCTTTGTATCGATTAAGGAAATTGAGATATTTCAATGCACCCTTGATTTTCCAGCTGATATTTCATTTGGTTTTTAAAGTTGAGCAAAAATTTCCATGCAGAGATTATTCTCCTTAAGTCAGCTTGGGTCTTATATGACCTGAATGGCAGTATTCAAGGTTTCAGTTGCTAAAGTGTCTCAAATATGTACAACAACATCCAAGCATATCAACTATTATGATGTGCTAAATATACCATATTAGCAATGTATGATGCTAATACTGTTGTAAAATTTCATGAGACTAGTAGGCTACTTTTGAATAATTGCATTCTTTTTAATGATAAATGATTTCATTATCTTAATCATTAAGAGTTAAAAAGAATGCAATTATTCAAATGTAGCCTAGTAGTATAAAAAATGTCACAAGACTTATTGGGTAAAACCATTGGAGGGTTTCTCATCTTACTCCAAAGAAGACATAATAAGGAATTGGGGTTTGTAGCTGGATGTACCCTTAAAAAGGGTGATGATTCAAAAGGAATGACTACCACCAGAGTGGGGATTAATAAAACTTAACTTTGATGGCTGCAGCCTTGGATTTTTGGATCATCAGGAGTGGGAGGAGTATTTAGAGATGAGAAGGGACATGTAATGGCCCTTTTCTCAGTGAATGTGATTCTGACGTTGTAATTGGATGGATGCTGAATAAGGAGAAAGCTTTGTGGTTCTAATATCCTATAGGCATGAACTCAAGAAGATTAAATGGCTGACTAGAAATTGTCAAGTGAATAATCAATGGGTGCAAAGGTTGGGTAATAGCGTGGATGATTGCAAACTTGTCATTATTCAATCATTGTGTATGGAGCTGTGAAAGACTTCTTTGGGGTTATTAGGGGCTTGAGGCAACAATCCTTTATCTTCCTTTATTCTTATTGCAGATATTTTATGAGACTAATATCAAGGGCTGATGGGATGTTATTGGTGAAGGGTTGGAGAGTGGGAAGAGAAGGGGAGGTGCTTAGCCACTTAAAATTTGCTTACGACATAATCATTTTTTTTGTGGTGGGGAGAATAGATGTTGGGTGGAAAAACCTAAGGCTATTGGTGAGACTCTTTGAGAATGTGTCAAATGACTAAAATCTAAAAGTTAATTGGGGCAAGAGCATGGTGGTAGGGATAAATCTGGGAAAAGAGGAAGTAGAGTCTAGAGCAGCATTGTTAGGATGTGTTTCTTGTGGGTGGCCAATGAAGTATCTTGGTCTCCCATTAGGTGCAAACCCTAGATCTAATAGCGTTTAAGTTCCAGTGATCAAGAAATTTGAAAAGAAATTGGCAGTTTGGAAAAGGAACTACATCTTTTTGGAGGGAGAATTACTCTAATTAAGTCTACCTTAGCTAAACTCCCTATGTATTATCTCTTGGTGTTTAGAATGCCACAAGTAGTTGTCAATAGGATTGGGAGGATAATGAGAGACTTCCTTTAGGACCCTAGGGAGAGTAAGGACCAATGATTTAAAAAGGCATGCCTCAAGAATGCCTAGGCACTCCAAGCGGGGTGCATTTTAAGTTATGCGCGCCTTGCCTAGGCCCTAGGTGCAGCACTTTCAAAAGGCGAGCGCCTAGTGTGCCTTGTTTTTCAACCCAGGTGTGTGCCTTTTTTTTGCGTTTTTTGTTCTTTTTTGAACCTAGCCAGAGCATAGTGTTGTTTATTCATTCATCCTAATAAAATATCTTCTTAAAAGGCATTTAAAATTATAAAATCATTTTTTGTGTAAGGATTAAGAATTTAAGACCCTAACATGGACTTCTTTGGGCTTGCCTCAAGGGGCTTGGTACAAAGGCAGCTCGTAGAATCAAGAATGCAAGTTGTTTTACATCACATTAGCTATTTAAAGTAATGCAATTGAAAAAAAAGAGATTGTGGGTTTTACATGCTTGAAAATGTTTTATATGTTTGATTTTATTTCTAAATTTTAATTGGCATATGCTTTACATGTTATGCTTATGCATTTTAATTTTAGATAATAGGTTTTTTAAAACATTTATTTTAAAATTTAAGTTTATATTTTTATTAATATTTTTTATTTTTATTTTTTTTTGACATTTTTTGTATTTTGGCACCTTGCTTCAAAAAGGCGTGCACCTTGCCTTGCGCCTTAGGCACAAATTGCCCTTGCACTTTTAAAACATTGGTAAGGACCATCTGGTTAAATGGGAAGTAGTGTGCAGAAGGAAAGAGGAACATAATTTGGGAATAAGGAATTGGCCCTACTTGGGATGTGGTTGTGGAAATTTCCAGTGGAACATGAGAAGCTTTGGACAAAGTAGTGGAGAGTATTCATGGGGTTATGGGCAATGGATTGGGTGTTGGATTCTTGCAAAGAACCAATCTTGCTTCTCCTTGGAAAGCCATCCACAACATCCTTTGTTTTTTATAGGAAACTGTAACTTTCATGAAGTTTGAGAATTATAGAATTTCAACTGCCATTTTCCAAAAAGGGGACCCCTCATAACATAGTCAATATACAAGCATGCCCAAAACAAAGTCTCCCTATTAACCCCTTGCTTTGCTAAAACATCAGCCAACCCGTTTGCTGACCTCCTAACCCAGTTAAATTGTGCTCCTATCTCCCTTGTCAAGTTCATAATTTCCCTTATATGCTGTCTAGGGGCCAAGCACACAAATTATTTGTTGCATCCATCCTACGACCAATTTTGAATCCCCCTCCCCTTCTAACTGTTGGAAACCCAACTGTTTAGCCAATCTGAGCCCTTGAAGGAGCACCATTACTTCTGCTCTTAATGAGTCACCCACCCCTAAAGGGCCAGACAATAGGGCCAAAACTCTTCCTTCCATATCTCTAAACACACCCCCAATTCCAGATGGACCAGGGCTGCCCATAGAGCTGGCATCAAAGTTCAATTTCACAGAAAGCTGTAAAGGAGGGGTCTACTCATGAAAGATAGGAGGGATGGAGTGTTACGATCCATTTGTCCCATGTTGGTAGTATGGGATGCTAATGTGAGGTATCCCACATCGGTAGTATGGGATGCTGTTGTGGGGTATATATGTGTTTGGGTTCCCTCCCTCTTAACAGCTAGCTTTTAGGGGTGAGTTCTCCTAAAGCATATAACAAATGGTATTAGAGCCTACACTATGCCTCCCAGTTGCAATCGTGCGGCACAGGTGGTGACGTCGGTATTGCAGTGTCCAGCTGGGACTAGGTGGACTAGTGCAAAGCCAGTCTGTGTGAGCGCCGGGACTGCAGAGCATGGTAGAATGTTACGATCCATTTGTCCCATGTTGGTAGTATGGGATGCTGTTACGGGGTATATATGTGTTTGGGTTCCCTCCCTCTAACAGCTAGCTTTTAGGGGTGAGTTCTCCTAAAGCACATAACATGGAGGAGCCTGCTACTATGTTCCAATCTCTAAGCAAGTCATCTACAGAAAAATCCTTGAAGAAATCCATAGTTTTCAACCAATGTATCGCCTTGATGGTGATGCCTTCTATAAGTTGAAGCAATGTTTTTTCTTGCCCTTGGAAAATCCTGTTATTTCTCTCTTCCCAAACTGCTCACACAATAGCTGCTCTCGTTGTTCTCCACATCACCCTTCCCTTCTTTGGTTGTTGGAAGAAATTAGAGTTTAAAAGGTCTGTCACTCTCGTTGTTCCACTTCCTTTGTTTCTTAATCATATCAGGTATGATCTCTCCTTTGGCGATAAAGTAAAATTTTGTTAAGATATTTGGGTAGGGGATGCTCCTCTGAAAAATCCATTCCCTTCTTTGTACACTTTATCCACCTTAAAAGGTAAACCTATCTCTAACCTTTTGGGGTTGGGAGGGAAAGCAGCAACTTTAGGAGGGATAGGGATGCACCACACTTCCTTCACAGGAAAGGATAAAGGAGGGAGGTTGGAAGCCACTAGAGAATTGAAAAAAGAAGCACAAGAAATAAAAAAACAGGGTTATGACCCAACACCCTACCGTCCCCTTTAATGAAATAAAACACCACCCCCTCCAGAATATTTCAAAAGGTTAGAGACCTGGGGAGCCTCTGAATCCCTAAGACTTAGTTTGGAAAGAGTACAAATACAAATATGTGCAGTACAAATAGACACAAAACAATGCAAAATACAAGGTTTTGCACTGTACATATTTGTATTTGTACTCCTTCCAAACTGAGCCTAAGGTTCCTCCTAAACCCCATGTTCCAGTCAGAGGAGCATTAATACTTTTAATATGTTACAAAGAAGAGGGCCCAATTGGTGTATTTCCCCTAACTAATGTCCATTCCCTTTAGTGAAATAAAACATCACCCCCTCCAGAATATTCAAAAGGTTATAGACCTGGGGAACCTCGAATCCCTAAGGTTCCTCCTAAACCCCAAGTTCCAGTCAAAGGAGCATTAATACTTTTGATTTGTTACAAAGAAGAGGACCCAACTAGTTTATTTCCCCTAACTAGTGTATAATGTGCAAACTGAATGACAAGACTGTTCCTAGGCTTAGGAACATTACTGTGATATTAATAAAATTCTACTGTTATAATAATTATAAAAAAATGATTAAGATAGTGAAACAATATGCCCTCATGCACTGTTCTCAAAGGCTGTCTGTTCCTAGGCCTAGGAGAGAAGTCTCTCCTTCATGGCTAACTTATGGTTTATCTCAAATCTCTGTATTATGGGTAGCTCTAAATCGAAGTATCCAAAGGTTAAATAATAGTGGAAGGTATGGGCTGAAATCTATAGATTGGATGGTAAAGCAATGTAAAGTTTGAGAAATCAAATATTAGGTTACAGACATTTTGGGGTTATCCTAGGATAGGAAGGTTAACCATGAGGTGCTCCCGAGGAGGGAAAAAATGATTGAGGGTTTAAAGGATGTCTATGATTGGGAAAAATCTTAAGATTTAAGGTAGATATTCCACTGATGCATGTCTAATCCAATAGATATTGTAAGGATGTGAAATGTGCCCTAGGTTTGGTTTTATACAATTTTAGGGTTGTTTAGAGTGTAAGAAATTTGCTTGGGATGAAAGGTTCACTCTTTCTTCTTATAGTAATTGATTAGGCCTATGTAAGCAGATAATGTTAAAGGGATTTTCAAGAATGAAGATTAACCAAGAATATGATCAACAATACATAATATTTTTTCCTGGTCAGTAACTGTTAAAAGTATTCGTTACTCATTGTTTTGTGTAATGGTAAAATCTTGCTGACAAGTGTGAGAAAACAGGTTTGAGTCTGAGCACTATCACTTTGTGAAAAATAATGCCAGAGGTTAGGTTTGTATCAAGTCTACCCCTCCCAAGACCCCAGATAACTGGAACCAACACTGAGTAATGACCTTTTTAACTGTTACAAGTATAGTGGCTAGCCTCAGCTAGCCATCTTATATATGATATGCATCAAGAATATAGATATTAAAAAAAGTAGCAAAAACTCAAGAAAGATTCAAGTACAATGCAACAACAGCCAAGAATCAACCAAGATTCATCCATGAAGTTTATTAATTTTTATTTGCTTTCTGATGAGGCTTTATCTTCTTTCTTCAAGATCTAGTATTATCTGGAATTTTTGCAGGGACTTTCCGTTGTACCTATTTGGGATGACTGCAACAGACAGTTCTGTGGCATGTTGACCGCTTCTGACTTCATTTTGATCTTAACAGAGGTATTGGTCCCAACTTCATTTGTATGTTTATCATATTGTTTCATTATTTTTCATGCCTTTTATGATTACATGGTTTTGATTGTCAAATTCTTTTTAACTTGGAAGTTTTTTCAAAGAAAAATACTGTAGGAATATTAAGGAAAACCATTGAAAAATGGGACCCACTTGCAGGACTGGAAGCATGGGTTCCAAATGGTTTTTAATTATGGGCAACAACAGACATAGTGGTAGCAAAGGGTATGGTCTTGTTCTCCTAGGATTGAGGAAGAACTGAAATTAGTGTTTTTCATTAATTAAAAACTATGTTTTTAGTAGCCAATGCCATATGGTTGGGATAAGACTTTGATGATAATGATGATGAAAAGCTATGCTTTTAAAGAGTTGAAAGAAATAAGGCTTAAGTTTGCTTAAGGAAGGAAAAGAGGGAGCACTTTTAATACAATTAATTGGTATTCAGGTGCCTAATGAGAGAGCATGCATGGTGGTGAGTTTGGTTGTTCAACCAGATGGTTAGTGAGGTGAAACAGTCAAAACCATAAAAAACTCAGGACCTAGTCAACTACCAGGGTCAAAGGCAGATTTTTTTTTTCTTTTTTGATAATTGAATGGTGATTTTATTAACAAGATAAGAAATCTATTACAGGCATCCCAAGGAGAGGCACGAGGTGCAACCTCTCCTTCAAAGAAAATTACAGATTAAAGAAAAGAGAATAGAATACAGTGCATCCCAGTACAAATTTTCCCTGTTAACCCCTTGTTTAGCAAGGCAATCAGCCAAGCCATTTGCCGACCTTCCCACCCATTATAAACTAATGTTCATGTTTCTTGTTAACCACTTGGCTTTCTTTAAGAGATCCCTGTAGCACCAAACCCCCGAATCCGAATCAGCCAGCCAACCTACAACAACTTTAGAATCTCCTTCAATTATTAAATTTTCCACTCCAAGTTGATGTGCAATTTGAATACCTTGTAGGGCTGCTAAAAGTTCAGCCCTATTAGAGTCTCCTGGGTCAAAGGCAGACTGAAGACACTGCAAATTTTAATTAGATTGTTTCTCAGTTTTTATTTATTTTTATTGGAATTAGCTTGGTTTCTTAGCTGAAGTAGCAATTATGACATGAAAAATAGTAAACATTAAGAGTAGAATAAATGCAACATTACATAGTCTATAACCTGGGGGATGGAGCCTTATTTTGTAAATCAAGTTGGAGACACAGAGAATATCTTTGTTTGGGATATGATAAATGAAATAATGGGAAAAAAAAGGGGACAATTTCCTATTATAAGAGAAAGATATAAAAAGAGAAGGAGAGCCTATGTTAATTCTAAGAAAAGTCTAAGTGGCAAAGCCCCTAATTCGTATCCGGTCAAAATCTTGGTTAATTGATCGAAGTGGGTAGCTTCAGTAGACCCATAGATCATGGAACAAATAGGGTGGGTAGTCCCAACTACCACACTACACGTATATATGCGAACCCCCCTCGTTACTGTACGTGCGACTCTCACCGCATACGGCTCACACAAAGACTCCTAAATCCATTCGGAGCCTTTTCTTCCACCTCTCCTCTCCAATCCTCGATCAAACTTGCTCTCCCCAAGTGCTATGAAATGGGGGCCTTCGCCTATCGTGGGCGGGCTGGCCATAGGTTCGAATCCTGCCACCTTGATTGTGGATCATCCTGTGGTTACCGGATGATGGGAAAGCAGAAATTTTGAAATGAGCACGAAATGTCAATAAATGACTTGTCTCATTATTCGTTATTTCCGGGTCTTTTCGTTGCATTCACTTACAACAAGAAWCAACCACCAGCGTTTGGTGCAGCACCTGCATTTTGGTGCATTCTTCTTCCTTTCCTCATTCCATCATATTCCTAATAAATTATCCAATTACAATGTATTAACCGCTAATGTACCTTTCTTTTATCAAATCTCAGGGACATGGTATATATATATACATATATATATATATAGTCAAGGTGTCTTGGATAAAAAGAAGTGCCAATTTCTTTAGTGATGGGCTAGCAAAGCAAGGGATGAATAAAGCCTCTATTTTCTGGGTTCAATTGTAACATTTTGTTTGTTTTGGTTTTGTTTGATTTTCTAGGGGAGAGATAAGAGAGTTTATCTCTCTTTTTCCTTGTAATTTGCTTGGTTTTCTAATAAAGCTATAAAGCTTACTTGATAGATAGATAGATAGAAAATCAATAAATATAATACTATAAATGTAATACCTAAAGTTTCAAAAAAAAATTGAGTTATTTATCAAAAAAATATGTGATTAAAACTTTCCAAATTAGTCATATTTTGAAATTAAATCTGATGAGGGCAGATTTGGCCCTCCAGTGAAATTGCGACACGTGGCACCTCGTGACAACTAGGCAAGCACCCAGGCAACAACTTACCAAGTTGGTGTCCCCCTCGGGCACCGGTCTGGCTGGCCTGGCGTGACCTGCACGCGGCCCACGGGCGACTTGCACGCGG